ACAATTTAGTTGCGAGTCATTGATGTTTAAGGGGTTGAGAAGACCACAATCTCTATCTAATTGTGTGATTTTGATTTCACAGAAATCATTTTAAGTGCTTCTTTAGACCGCAAGAACACAGTGAAACAACAAAAATTGCATCATCCAAGTGTAGTAATCCACATTAGCCAAATAAGGGATGTTAAAATGCTAATCAGCTGTGTTTTATTACAGAAAGCTGCTCTATGCTGTCTTTAGACTGCATGCCTGTAGGGCTTCACGAGCATTTGCCTATGTCAGCTTTCAGACCGCAGTCAGGATGCACACATGGGGAAGTGGGCCCAGTGCTGCACTGGCCAGCAGAGACCAAACACAAGCTCTTAGATGAGGGTGTATTTGTGTAAATATGTGTTCATTAGCGGTCCTCACAATTATTTGAACACAATTCAGCGTTTCATTAACTAAAACTTTAGGAGACATTGAATCACTGTTGAACTGTTCTTTAGGAATCAATTCAATGTACTGTTCTCTAAAACAAACTGTTCTTAAAGAAACAATTAATTGCACTATCCACGAAAATTATCTGTTCAATTCAATGAAAGGATTCAGTGCATCATTCACTAAAACAGACTGTTCTTTAGGAAGCGATTCAGTACATCGTTCACTAAAGGGACTTTTCTTTAGAGAATGGTTCATTGCACTAATCACGAAAATGAACTATTTTTTAAGAAGCAATTCAATGCATCGTCCACTTAAAGGAACCTTTCTTAATTCATTGTACTGTTCACTAAAACAAACTGTTCTTTAGGGAATGATTCAATGCATCATTCACTAAAACAAACTGTTCTTTAGAAAATGATTTGGTGTATCATTCACTGGAACAGACCCTACTTTAGGAAACCATTCAGTGCATCATTCACTAAAACAATCTGTTCTTTAGGAACGGATTCAGTGCATCGTTCACCAAAACAGACTGTTCTTTAATAAATGATTCTTTGCACTGTTCACTAAAAAGGACTGTTCTTTAGGAACCTATTTAGTGCATCCCACTTTAATATGAACTGCACGCTCTGTATAATGTATAATCTCTCTGCATAGTGAAATGAATCAAAGTTTGTTTCACACAATTCAGTTAGATTTGATTATGTTGATATGATTCAGAATTATTTCCAAAGACTCACTGGATGCACAAATGCACCTGGAGGAACGTTCATTACATTTACATTCATTGCATTTGCCAGGTGCTCTTATTCAGAGTGACTTACAATTTGACCACTTTACAGAGGTGTAAAAAAAAAAAGTGTTTGGGGTCTTGTCCAAGGACTCTTATTGGTATAGTGTAGGGTAACCGCTACACTATACCAACCACTATTTACACAACTGTGTAATATAGACAGTAAAAACAATACACTTGTTTGAAGTATTGTTTTTACTTTTGAAAATTGCCCAAGTCTGAGAATACTTGAATATTACAGTAGATTATAATTGAATGTAGGTGAACGTGCACCTTTAGATTGATGATGATGCATCTATGTATTATTACATCCTTTGTGCATATATGTATTTGTGAGAGAGTGCATGTGTGAATGTCTGTGTGCTCATATGCACTCTCACTCGGCCACGAGTCTGCACCTCCGGGTTCATTTCCTGCTCTCAGAGAAGAATAGAATCGGTGTTTATCCGACTGGCCTGTTAGTAACATGCACTGACAACATGGACGTAAATAGGTATTCGAAAAATAAAGAAAATTTGCAACTTTAATTGTTTAACATCAGCCTGATGTCAGCTTGCTAGCCAGCTAACAAGCTAGTGGTACTGGCAGAGATTATACAGCCATTCATTGTTGATGTGTAATTCAGTATGACGCACCATCTGTGTATAAAGTTCATATTCTCTGGATGACTGAAATTATTATTGAAATCAGTTAATGAATTGGAAAAAGGATTCACAAATCCTTGATATGAGTAACGATCGCCCTGCTTTATTCTTGACTAAAACGATTTACATTTACTGGATCACGTGAATGCCTAAATGCATCCAAACACCCAAACTGTGATGGTCAGGAGGTTTTCAGTACACAGAAAACTACATTGTGATAGATGTCTTAGATGCATTTTGCAGCCTCTTTTAATGGCAGTATTACAACAAGCCAATATTGTGACAGCGGTTGTCGCAGTGGTACTCAAATAAAGCTTGCGAAGGTCCAGTCACCTCACATTCCTTGCTCACAAAGGTCTGGATGTACTAGCATAAATGAATGGTGACAACGGTTACTGTTGAATGATTAGTCCAGGAAATGTTTTGCTAAACTGATTTATTTTGAACATATTTTTATAATCTAATGAACATTTAAAATTGTATGGCTATTCGCCGTTGTTAAAAAAAAGTTAATAAAATATTTATCTATGGAAGAAAACATTACTGTCTTTTCATAAGCAAAATAAATTAAATAAAAAATAATTTCAATTAAACAATAATAAAATGATCAGCATTTCAAGCTCTTGCACTGTTAGATATGGACAATCCACTCTGGTGGACCTGTCATGTTAAGCTTTGAGTTTATTTTATTTGTTTTATTTGTGGCCTGGTGCTTATTGTTTTCACTTTTGATGAACCACGGACTCTGAACACGAGACACATCGATTTTGAACTTAAAATGTGGAGAAAAAAGCACAGTTCTCTGTTCATTCATTTTTAAACACTCTGTTTTCATCGCCAACTTTCCCTTTTTTTGACAAACCATGTTATTGTTTCATTGCTCAGACCAGAAATAGTAAATACAATTTACAATCTATGAAAAATGTGAAATTATTTGCTTTCTGACCTGATTTGTAGCCCTGTTGTCTCTGTTCTGATGAGCAGCCTTTGGCTAAGTCATTTACACAAAAGTATTGGAGTGGATAAACTGCAGCACAGGACTGCTATAGAAGCCACACTGGTTCATATTCATGTATGTTGCTGAAAGACTGAAATAGATTTTTTATAATGTACATCAATTGGCTTTGATTTGGCTACAGAATTTGCTCAAATTCGCTGAAATATTTGGGTTTGCGTCTGCACCGCAGTCTGCCAGTTGAAAACCCCTGGATTACAGGAATACTTGGGTGATATTCAGCCTGATCTCTGTCTTTTGTATCTGCAGCATATGACTGAATATAATGTTCTTAGAATAGGATAGAAAACTCTTTGGCTTGAAACAGGTGATGAAATGCATGCTGTGTTTTGTCAGTAGGTTTTACAACCTTTTCAGGCAACAGAGAAATCTTTGTCTGTGGTAATCGATGCTAACAGATTACAGATGCGGCAGGTAGAGATTAGGTTAAAAAGCACTGAAGTATTCCTTTAACAAACGAAATATCGTGCAGATCTAATGTGTAGTGAAATACGTAGACAGTTAGGGTGTGGAAAGTAGTTTTTGTCCACTTTTGTGAAACAAGAACATTAGTGTTCAGTATACTAGAGCTTTGGAATGTCATTTTGGGCTGACTGGTGAATTTGGAGAGGAAAAATGTTTCACAGATTGACCTGGTCTGACCCATGGTCACGGCACAGATGGAAGGGAAGAAGTGAGGTACCTCCGTACCACACAGACGCAGACTTTGTGATTTATCTCCTCAGTCTATGGTATCCTGGACCAAGCTTGCCTTCTGTCAGATATGGATTACTCATGATAAGAGACAGGATATCCAGCAGTACCTGCTCAAGGAGAAACTCCAGCCTACTTTGCTGCTTTAGGCTCAGACTTTTTACTGCATCTGAGAGAAAGAACAGCCAGCCAGGATGATTAATGGGTTTTACAGGAGAGTCAGACTAGTAATGAAAGCACCATTCATTTAAATATAGGTGGAGGGGGAACTACATAATGTAAACAATGAGTCACTAGCATTGTTATTGTTTTCCATTAAATTGAATGCACTCTTATTGTTATTATCCAGAGAGAGCCAAGAAACACACACACACACACACACACACACACACACACACACACACAAAAGCAAGCACAAGCACAAAGTTGTGCAGGATTAAAAGTCATTTCATAGCTGTGAGGGGAGGCATAGAGGATATGCCAAGAATATCATATCCTGATATTAGCTGGTAAAGGTATAAATAGACACGCTGAGAATAACAAATAGTGTTTGGATGCTTCATTTAGCTAATGGAAAGTAGCAGTGAGTAAATCACTGTAAACTAAGCTAGCTATCCTGTTACCTTTACAGGACTGACATCGACTGACAAAAATCAAGCAATGTTCAAAATGTTTTTGTGTTTTGTTTTGTTAAGTTGCAATCACTAAATTTAGTGAATCAGTTGATGATTTTCATTCAAATAATCTCTCTTCGTAGTTAAGAATTAAAGATTCTGTTTGCTTTAATTCAAGGCAAATTTATCCGTTTAGCACTTTTCATACACCACGGTACTTCAGAGTGCTTCAACCACAGAAAAATAAAGCCTCGCCCAAGGTGGTTTGTTTTTTGTTGAAAGGACAAAATGGCTCTTCTTGACATTTGGGTTGCCGACCCCTGAGCTAGATTAAGTAACATGGACTGATATCACTGACTACTGATAATTTTCTTTTTTTGAAGCCCAAAACAACCTTCTGAGATAAACTCCCTGCATTTTTCATCCATGCTGTCCCTAGCCATTGTTTTCCAACATATGAGCACATGTCAAGAGTTAAGGGGCTAGTTCTTGACAGAATATCTTGCCGGCTACACCCTGCCACTGAACTGCAGCAGTCTATTATTGTGACGGAAGTCAATCAAGCAAGCCAGAGCTTATCACTAAAACAACCACAAACTAACAAAACAATTTTAAAGTAGTGTCACCAGAATCGTGAAAAGTCATTTTACTGTGTTATAATGTTGTTGACATAAGTTGTCTGCTCCTCTTTCTGTCTTATTGAAGACACTTATGGTTTTTCCCGTTTCCTACATGCAGCCAGCTTCGATTTGCTGAATGTAACCTCACAATGCCACTTTGCTCACTTAACATTCTGACCCTTCTTCTCATTCCCTCCACAGCCCATGCGTCCCCTCAAGGCCACAGCCACAACCTCAAAGCCTGTACTGACCATGGAGCAGATCGAGACTATCTTTTACAAGATTCAGGACATCTACGAGATCCATAAAGAGTTCTATGATGCTCTCTTCCCCAACATCCAGCAGTGGGATGACAAGGTCACTGTGGGTCATCTCTTCCAGAAGCTGGTGAGCTCTGCTGTGAATACTTCATCTGAAAACACTGAACTGTTCTAATCAATGATCGCTTGTGAAGCTGGTAAAACTAATCTGATTTAGGAGCGCGATTGGAGTTGTTTGTACTAGTATCTGCTGATACTGAGTCCACTTGAATAATTGTGTTTTTGTAAGTGATGTAGCTGCACATTGCACGGTTTTACTACAGTAAAGCTACTAAACCCAATCCAGTTAAGGTAAGGATATGTTAAGCTGCCAATTACCTTTAAATGAAATACTACACTAAAATGACTTCATTTTTAGTATGAGCATAATATGAACTCTGAATTGGTATGATACTTTACTGTTTAAACTGCACGCACAAAGCAGAGTACTCCTAATAGTAATAGTGGCGCACTCACATATTACCTACAGCTAATTTAAGTGTTGAAATTAGCTGCATGTAAACTAGCTTGCCTGCGGTCGGAACACTGGCATTGCGGATTTGGCAAGTGGCCGTTGGGCTGTTTATATATTCTACTTTAATGGGGAACAGTCTCATTTGGCCTTTTGTTAATGTCAGAAGGTGCTTCATCATGCCAGAGATTTGAATTTTACATTTTTTTTGTTACTGTCAAAGAGGAAGAGGACTCAGCTCCCAAAAGTCACCATGGTGTCATGACATACAGGATCTGTGCACTCCCCACCCTCTCACTCAGCCCCTTCAAACTCCCACCCAACATAAACGATGTATCCATAACCATCCACTAACACTTCTCCTTCAAACTGACTACAGAAACAGCTGTCTTATCTACTAGGAAAACAAAACTAGCCACGGTACTGGTTGGAGCAAACTCTGTACATTTTTATATGGCCAGCAATGCATTTACATTTTTTAGAGTTGATACCCAAGAGACCATACGACCATATAATTTTTAACCGAAGTTCATATTGGAGTGGAGTCTGAGGTCAGCTTATGAATGCAAAACACATTTACCTCAGTATAATACTGGTAGTTTTGCTGAGCTGAGACAAACGTTTTGTAATCATCTAAAACAATGTTAGCTCAGTTATTACAGTCAGGCTGCCTCAGCTTGGGTTTTCTGTTTCTGTTAAGTGTCCATGGAAATACGTGCAGTCTTCCATCAATTCCAGACTGGAGTTCCTGTTTGGATTTGATGCTGGTTCAGAGTTTAGATCTTTCTTTAAGTGACCTGAACACACACAAATGTTTGTAAGTAAAAATGATGTTTTGTTGCAGTTCAGGTTATTTGTAGCAGCATAACTTGTTAACTGTTACAACTTGCACAGTCTTTCAGTGTTGTGTGATAAACTCCAGGTTTTCTTTCTCCACATGTCCACATAATTTGACTGACATAGAGTAAAAATATTAATTTCACAAAATGGAGAGCCTTACTGAAGTTGCAATGCTGAATGACTTGCAGTAAGTAAAAGGGCATGACCAAGCCTGTGCAGTGCTGAATATAGCCACACCTCTGCCAACTGTAACAGTGCAACAGACATCTGAGAGATGTAGGATGTAAAACACGTCAGTGTCTCCTGAACTTTACATCATTTTCAGTCTGAAAGTTTATTTAGAGGGCTTGAAAATTGATCAGGACCTTTTGACAGGGTGTTTAAAGTCATTTGCTAACATAAGCATCCATCAATGCTGCAAGTGATGTCAACAGAGCACAATGGAGTAGAACAGCCTTTATAAAGGACCAGAATTTTTTTCAGCCGATACTTATCCGTTAAAATATGCCGGTTATGTAATCAATATATGAGATCAGGACAGCTTTAATTAGGCGTAGAAGATTGTGTCCTACAGTTTTTTTTTCTCTGTTCGCCACATTAGCATGTTTGGGTGGAGAAGTTTTAAGTCCAGAATCTACTACCTCTCTTTGGCAAATTACACTGTCGGTGGCCCAGTTAATTAGGTTCACTTAGAATCAAAAGAATGTTGCGCAGATATGATCAGTAGTTTAGAAGTTGTTGTGGCTGCTGGAATTGGAAGCACTGCTTCTTGAAAGTTAATTAGCGTTTTTAAAGCAGTGAGTTTTTTTTTAATGAATTGGTAATTACTCTGCTGTGAGTAGCATTATTAATGTGTGTGTGTGTGTGTGGTGCTGATAGAGCTTCAGCTTGGGTCTGTATAGTCTCGAGCTGAGAGCGAAAGACTGAACAAATGCAGACCAGGTCAGAGACCAGAGAGAAGAAAGAAAGTGTGTGTTTGTGGGTCAGATTATAGCTTCTTATGCTGAAGCTAGTTTGTCAGATGAAAGAATTAGTCCGGCATTTTTCAGCCTACTCTCAGTCTATGCTTGGAAAACAACCGAAAATCCGTCGCCTGGAAGTGCACTTTTAATAGAAGCCAGTGGGCAGATTCTTCAGGTGTTTTGAGTCAGCGGGTTTTCTGTTCTTTTCCAAGCACACAGAAACTTTGCGGTGTGTCTGTGTGTCTGTCTGCGTCTGTCTTTGCGCATGGATCTCTGTGTTAGGGCTGAAAATGTGTCTTTTGTTAATTGTTATTGCGACATTGGCTTTTGCAGTATTCGTTTTGCACAAAGCTGAAATGAGCAAGTGCAGCCTCTGAGTAATCACAGTGTGTTTTACAGTGTGCTGTGAGCATCACAGTTCCAGATAGGGCTGTTCGATTATGGTGAAAATCATAATCACAATTATTTTGGTCAATATTGAGATTGCGATTATTATGCAATATGTTTCCAAACAGCTAAATTGGTTTCCCCTTTCTTTTTGACCAAAGCCTCTCTTTCTGTCATCTTGGCTCGGGCTGAACTAAACATGCCACAGCCTGGCTGAGAATGAGTTTAGGGAGGGGCGAAAGTGCACCACTGTAAAGGAAAGAGGTGCTGGATTTACAACACGACAAAACAAGAGCATCATTGCAAAACGTAATGCAGCATGATCATTGTTTTATTTAGATGATCTTGTTTACATAATCGTTGGAAGCCAGTTTTAACTGAAAACAAAATTTGAATATTCACCCAGCCCTAGTTACAGATACATGTTTCTGTGGGTGTTTTGTTGAATGAAGGAATAAAAAAAAGTTAAAAATGTTCATTTGCGGGTTCTTTAACACCACCTGTAAGCCTATTTACTCATTTCCAGTTCCAGTTGTGCTGTTGCGTTTAGTTGGGAACCGTGGATTGAGGGCTGTCAATCCTGCGCTATGACCCCGCCCAGACAATTCTCAGATGGGTCTGATAAGCAATTGTTAAGCCATGTTTCTGTCTTGTTTTTCATTGATACTTTGCTGGCTGTTTAATACAACGCTCAATTTTGATATTATTCAAACGTTTTTAATAATTTACACTGTGTTCCCTGAAACTCTAAGGGCCTGTATGTGAGCCCATTCATTAGTTCCTCACTCTTATAACTACGAGACCTAAGTATCAATTTCATGGTATTTACTGAGTAAAGTTTTAGTCCAACTTTACAACTTTTGAAAGTAACTTGAAACTTGTAACTTTTGGAAGCAGTGTTGGACCAAGGTCAGACTCGAATACTACACAATCAGTCGCTTCCAAAGCCCTGTCAGTGTAATCCAGTACTAGAAGCTTTACACTACAATCACCTGCATCTCCACTGACTCATATTTAAATATTCATGTTGATATTTTCTTAAATGTATTCATCAGGAAGTCTACATTAACATGTTTGTAGTAAACATTACAGTCTTAGTTGTGTAGGCAGATGGTGAGGTAATTACAGACTCCCTCCAGCTCTCAAAACTCAACACAACCGTGAAAGACAAGAAAGGAATAAAAGAGCAGAAGGGAACGAGGGATGACTACTCTGAGCAGGAGGACAAGTCAGGGATGACTGATCCTGGAGTTTTACTCCATTGACTCCATCTCTCTCCCTCTCTCCCTCTCTCTCTCTTTCTCTCTCTCTTTCATGCTTTGTGTTTTGCTCTCTCTTTCTTGTACTCACTCTTTTTTCTCTCTTCTCTCTCACACTCTCTGTCATGCTTTCTCTTTCACTCTTTCATGCTCTCTCTCCCTTTCTCTGACTTTCTTTTTCATGCTTTCTCTTTCTTTCTCTGTCCCTCCCGCTCTCTCTTTCTTGCTTTCTCTTTGTCTTTTCCTTTTCTTTCTCTGTTTCTTTCACACACTCACTCTCCCTCACTTTCTTTTGCTCTTTCTTTTTTTTTTCTCTCTCTCTGTTTTTCATGCTCTTTTCCCTCTCATGCTTTCTTTTCATCTTTCTATCCTTCTTTCATGCTGTCTCTCTCTCTTTCATACTTTTTTCTCTTTCTCTTTATGCCCCCCCTTTATCTCCCTCTCTCTTCCCCCTCCCCTCATATTACTTACTCATTCTCAGTCACACTTCTTTAACCACGACACACACACACTCAGTCTGTGTGCATGTGTTAGTGTGTGTGTGTGTCACAGATGAACTAAGTAGGTGAGAGGCAGAGAGGATGCGGGGTTGCTAGGTGACAGTGGCAGCACAGTCTGTGTGTGTGTGTGTGTGTGTGTGGTTTTAAACTTTAAAATTAGAGGAGAGGGGCACGTCAGGCCGCAGAATCAACCACAGGCAACAACCGACAACACACACACAATCCATCCACACATGGCGTCTTAATCAGTGACAACATGGTTTGCATACAAATTCTGCCTGTCAAAGGTTTGGGCACATAGACCCTGTTCGCACCTGCTCGTTTCATGCATCTTGAGTATTAGGTTTGTATCCGGAAAGAGATTATCCACATAAAAATTCAGGCGTAAATGCACTCAAGATGAGTTTATATCTGATTGCTTAAAGCACTTCAGGTGGTGGTCTGAGATGCATTTTAGCTAGATGTTCTAAAGCCACATTCAGCAAGCAGAACCCCTTCTAGTACAGTGATGGCACCTCCCGCTGCTGTTGTAAGGAAAAAAACGCCCACTGGCCTGCTGCGGAGACATCACTGCTCCTTCAGTTACTCCTTAACGTGAGTTTGATTCAGCAGCCTTCACTGGCCTGGACTACTGCAAATTTCCTCCCCCTCATTGTTATTCACTCTCCCTACAACGCATGTGGTCCATGACTATGACTACTAATACAAGAGGCTAATTATTCTAAACAGGCACCTTCTTGTAAACATTGATGTAAAGCCGGTGTAACGAAGTGAATCACTGCATGCAAAATTGTGTTTTTTGAGGTGGCAACCATCTTTTAAATAGAACAGAGAAAACAAGGAACAACACTGGCGATTAGTTAAGACCAATTTGATTACCAAGCATCATCTTATCATGATACAATACAGATACAGGTCACATGGAACGACCAGATGTAAACAGGATCCTATTTTTAAAATGTTTTTAATAAGTGAGCATATTTTCTTAGTCAATTTGCAGTAGCGTAACATTTTGAATGTTAAGATGTGTAGATCTCGCCATTTTTTTTGCAGAAACTGCAAAACTGAAGGAACAACTGACAAAAGAAAGAACCTTGGGATTAATCATAAACTCTATACTCTATAATTAGCTTTTTAAACCACCTTTGAGTGAAAAGAGTTTCAGTATGTGCTTTTAACAATAGTTTGGAAAGAAAACTGTCAAATTATTATTTAGACAAAACCTGCTCTTTATACCAAAGAAGACAACATTACGTTCATCAAAGTGTTGATAAGTAGCTGATTTACATTAACAAAACAAGGCCAGTTATGGTTGATTGCTTTAATGATTCAGTAATCTAGTAATTACTTTAAAAATCATTTGCTTATTCAGACAAGCAATAAAAATTGACTTGAAGGGCATTCCAGCCTAAAAATAGCTTAGTTCAGTGTGTTAAGGTTTCTCCCAACCCTTTTGACAGGCAGTGTAAGACAGGTAGAGTGCTGTTTGGTCCAAGGATAGTTGTTTTATGACCAAACATATAATGGACCAAAGGTAGAATGCTTTAGCCTCAGGCTCCTCATTCTCCACCATCTGTATGCAGAGAGCTAATTGCCGCAGCCTAGAATCAGACCCTCTCAGCCCTCTGAGAGCCGAAAGGAGAGATCGGCTGAGCGATGGAGGAAGAGAGAGAGAGAAATGCGGCTTCTCGGGGGAGCAAGGGAGTGAAAAGAAGAAAGAATAGAAATAGAAAAAGAAAAAGAGAGAAAAAAAGAGATGGGAACGGAAGAGAATACGCCCACCGGTGTTTGGGTCAGCACTTCACTCAGTTCTGTTGCGTCATCAGACATAGGACACGTACGCACGAACACACACCCCAGCAGGACTTTTCATAGGTCGAGCTTTTATTTCTCTGCAGTCCACCCACTGTTCTTGAGTCAGTTCTCTCCTGCAGTTTGGACATTGTAAGGCTGTGATTGCTGTTCACTGTGCAGCCTCTGAGGGGCACTGCAGCATAGCTTCTCAGGTGCTTATTAAAGGTGCAACAGTTTCAAAACAGTATAGCAAAATCATAAAAAACGTTGAAACACGGCATAAAAATGTACTACAACTGTATCAGTGATTCGCCCCTCGCTGTCTTCCCTCATTTGCTGTCTTTACAGAAACCAGTCAGTGATCGAATGTAGACTGATTTTTTTGACCCCCCTTGCGATCACTTACATCCAGATGCTGTGACTCATTTGTGAAGTGTGCAAGTACAAGTAAGCATGTGAATAAAATGTGGTTACACGAAATGGCACCTGTGATTAGAGATGGGTAATCCAGGTCCAAAAAGAATTTTCTTCCAACTGCCTGGCTTCTCTAGTTTGCTCAAACCAGCAGCAAAGGTGTCCACGTATTTGAAACAAAATCCTGGGAAGGGTTTTAACTTTCTGGTTCTGGATTACTCACCTCTTCATATGATCACACCTTTTTTACACAGGTGAACTTGTTTATTGCATGTGATGAAATACTTTTCACATGGGATCACGTTTTTGCACATGTGAAGTGTGCAGAAACATGTTTACCCACATGTGAAATAATTTTTTTTCTGTAAGAACTTCGTTAATTAATTATTTTTTGTGAACCACTCTGAGCTGCTCTAGAGTATGGTGCGGTGCTATGTAAATAAAATTGGACTGCTTGTATTGTGCCGTACCTCTCTTTAGGGCATGCTGTGGCTTTTAGTGTAAACCTGTGATCTTGTAAAGAAATTAGCTTAAAATAATTAAATCATAATTAATCAAATTAGGTACTGTCATCGATTGCAGTTTATCACATTTGTCTTGTTCGCTGTATTTTGACCCTAAAGAAAGGTTTTTTTTCCATTTCAAAAGTAGTGCATTATATGAAAGTAAGCTTCATTACAATGTGTTTATTACCTTCAACTTGAACCTGAAAAAAAAAACAACAAAAAAAATCATGTGAACATGGCAATAAGGTGAACGCAATGTCCAGTTTTTATCACTGGCACTGGCACAATTTCACACACAGAAAGCCAAGAGTGTCTTAGTTAATCTGATAACAGAGTTACAGTGAAAAACATATACTATTTACTCAAATGAGTTAAAAAAATATTTGAGTCAGTTTCCATTCCGTTGGCAGAATCGCCACTAAGGAGCCTTTACATTTACATCTAGACTTTACATTGACTAACATTTTTATTGCTTGAATTTTGATTATAGAAGAGCGTACTCTATATGATGTGTGTCTCTCTCTCTCTCTCTCTCTCTCTCTCTCTCTCTCTCTCTCTCTCTCTCTCTCTCTCTATCTGTTTATTTATCTGTCTCACTCTCTCTCAGGCCAGCCAGCTCGGTGTTTACAAAGCCTTTGTTGACAACTACAAAGTGGCCCTGGAAACAGTGGAGAAATGCAGCCAGGCCAACTCCCAGTTCCAGAAGATCTCTGAGGTGCGCTCATTGACAGCACACACACATGCACACATATGCATCAACCAGTGATCTGCTTGGCAAATACATTTCTGAGTAGTGTTCAGACTGATCTCAGTTTGCATATGTTTGAGAATATTAAAGGGCCCACGTCATGGATTTTTATGTAGTATGTAAATGTTGTTACAGTCCATACTGCCCAGATATGGAAACTAAACTGCAAACACAACCTGTTTCTAATTGGTTTTTTTTTTTTGATGTCATAAAAATGAACCACGTGAATTACTATTGTTTTGGTTTAGAAACCAACGCAGGTGTCATACGTGGACCTCAGGAAAACAATGACATACCAGAAAATTGTTTGGTGTGGGCCCTTTAACAGACAATAACAAACCTTTTGTCTTACATTTGAAATAAACACATGGTTGATGGATCTGGTTTCTAAACCGTGTCTGGTTTGGAAAAATAGATGCAATAATCAACATTAAGTCAGATAAATAAATTAAGAATCTGTGGATTATCTCTGATCTGTATATAGAATAATTTCAGTGTGATACACCGATAGATTAGTTTGTGATTTTGTAATGCTGGAATTGTTGAGAAGAAAAAGTCTGCGATGTTTGCTGCATGCATCTGAACTCGTATCAGATGTAATGTATTTTAAAAGGTAATTATTATAATGTATTATATTACATATAAAAAAATTAAGTGACAAAGACTGTTGTGATTATGTACATGATGAAATTATTTAGTAGTCCTGCAGATTTGTTTATTTAGTCACAGCACAAAACCACAGAAGTGAAATACAATGACGTGCAATAGTTGGTCATCTGTCAGCCTCTCTCTCTCTCTCTCTCTCTCTCTCTCTCTCTCTCTCTCTCTCTCTCTCTCTCTCTCTCTCTGTCCCTCTGTCTCTCTCTGTCTCTCCCTGTCTCTTGCCTCTTTTTTTCTTTTGCACTTCTTCACTCACACACACAAACACACCCATGCATGCAAATGAACTGATAGAAACACCATTGTTTTACTTAATAGATATGAGCAAAAAGCGAGTATTGCATATTGTGCTGGCAAAGAACAGCATAACCTTCAACTTACAGCCCCACCACACTAAAGTTCCACATGCGGAAATGCTTAACAAGCGAAGTGAAAGATCTGCTGTGACCTTTCCACTGACCCAAAACATCCCTCTCATCATCCCCAGATTCATTCAGGGCCACGTTTACCCAGTCTTCAAACTCTGGAGTGTTTCTGAATGCAGCTATAGACTATAACATTACTACAGAGAGAGAGAGAAAGAGAGAGAGAGATTGTGCATGAGAGTGTGTGAAATTTATGTAAAAAAAAACAAAACAATTCTGCTGCATGAAAATGCTCAATAGCCTGAGGTTGTAGGAGAAATATGTTTCTAATATTTTGTCAGGACTCATTGGGCTCAGTAGCAGGCCTGTAGAATACACCTGTTCATGTATTAAACTCATTCTTATGCTGATGCTGACGTTCATAAGGTGCTGATTTTTTTTTTTTTGGTTGTCTCTGTTTAACAGAATGTTAAAGTTAAAGGACCTAAAGACTCCAAAGACTGCACCACTACTGTCACCATGGAGGGTAAGTCCAGTTTGCAGATTTCTGTGTGTGTGTGTTGTGCAGTAAAATAAGAGTGAGAGATATCGTGCTGCTGGGTAATTTAGTTTATTTTGACTGGTGGTTCTTTAAGAATGAGCTCAGTCCCACAGCTCTCTTACTTGTGTATGCAGCACCCACAGCCAGGACGCTGTGTGTATGTGTAAGCACTCGCTTGCTCATTCTAAATGCCTTGGTGTGCGGGAGGTGGACTCAGAAGTGTTCTCTCCTTCTCCCTCTCCCTCTCTCTCTCCCTCTCTACGGGACACAGTAAGGGAGAGTCATAGAGCAGTAAGAGAAACCACACTAGCAGAGTATGTGAATGAGAGAGGCAGATGCAGCCAGAGAGAGTGAAAGAGAGATAGAGTTAGGAATAGAGACAGAGAACAGTAGTTAGAAAAAGAGACACAGAGAGAGAGGGAACCAGAGCAGTAAGAGAAAGCGACACTGAGAGAGAGAGAGAGAGAGAGAGAGAGAGAACCAGAGCAGTAAAACAAAGCAAGAGAGAGAGAGGGGGGTGGGAAGGAGAACCAGAACCAGAGCAGTGTGAGAGAAAGAGAGAGTGCAGCAGCAGAGGAAGAGGGATGAACAAGTGTTAGAGAGAGAGAACTGGTACAGTAACAGGGAGAGAGTGAGGGAGAGCACAGAGAGAGACAGAGCAGTAGCAGAGGAAGCGGGATGACCGAGCGATAGCTAAATAGAGAGAAAGAGAGAAAGGGAACTCATGGAGATTCTTCTGGTGCTCCGACTGTGTTGTAACTGCACTTACGGTAACAAGCTCCTCTCTTTTCTTTCATCTAACCTGCTCAGGATTTATTTTGCATTCAGATGTGTGGATTAAGCTGGGTTTTTCATCCCACCGTAGCTGCTGTTGGGGTACTTAGTCTATTTGATGGACAAGGAGGGATATACTGAGCTGCACTGGCGAACTAATTTAAATGCAGTCCGTCTGTGTCTTTCATGTCGGAAAGCTGACTTGCCTTTCCTTTGGTGTCTCATGGTGTTTTCTAACGTGTAGTTGCCTGAGAAAGAGAGGGAGAGAGAGAGAGAGAGAGAGAGAGAATGTTTGCAGACCACAGTGTCCTACAGAAATCAGATCTCTAGCTAATCGGTAATTCTCGATGCAGCGTGGTGCGTGCCTTTGTATACACGTTTGCACGTCTTTCTGCATCTTCCTCCTTTTGAAGTTTCTCACCCCCAACTCTGAGGTTGCTGGGGATAAACCTCCACGATGCACCAGCAGCGGTTACCACGGCGATGGGTAATTAACAATCCGGGTAGGTGCGCACCTTCAAGTGTCAGAGGAGTGAGAGAGGGTGGAGGAGGTGGAAAAGAGAAGGAGCAATTGATTGGACTGATGCTTCTCTCTTTACACACCGGTCACGTTCACTCTATAGAAGTCAAGTTCTTTCCCTCTGTTGCAACAGAATATAACCACAGAATCCCAGACAGTTAGATCAGATCAGCCTCACCTCAAGAGGTCTCTCAGGGATGTGTATGCATGTTTTACAAGGGAAACGCAACGGGGTTGTGAAACTGAATGTTGATATGTTGTGACATATTTTGCATACGTCAGCTTAACAATGTCCTTTATTGAGAAAAAATGACGGAGAAGTTGATGCTGCATGAGTCAAATATGTGCAAATTATGAAAGTAAACAACTTTCTGTAGTTAGATCTCTTAATCAAATACTACATGTACAGTACTGTGCAAAAGTCACAGACCACCCTTCATTTATTTAATTTCCACTCAAAATGGCCATTAAATACAAGTTGCTCATTTTTTTTTTTTAGGAGAGATTTCTGAGGAGATTAGATATAGATAATAGCTTTATATTAGGAAGAGGAAAGTCAAAAGAAAATAAAGATTTTTATTAATAAAAAATCACAATTTATGTAAAGATAAAAAGAGATTCCTAATGACTATGCAAGACCTGGTAGACCACCAAAACTGTCACCCTTAGATATAAAGTACTTTCATCTTTGAGAGAGAGAGAAGAAAATCAAACTCAAAGAAGCTGCTGGTGTTCTCAGAATAATGGACTGACCAGCACAGAGTCCAGACTTTAACGTCATTGAACCTATTTGGGATTCTTTGGATTATAAGAAGCAGAAAACATAGCCAGCTTCTCAGACTGAACTTTAAAGCAGTGGAAAAACATCTGCAGATTCCTTGGAAAAATTGAAAGCAAAAATCGTGATATCATGTTTAGGCGTTGAGGCTTTCTTTTCATTTTATGTTAAACATGTGTTTTCTCTTTTTTTGCTGATACTGAAAAATGAATAACGTATAGTAAATGTTCGTTTTGCCTGGAAATGAAAAAAATGAAGGGTGATCTCTGACTTTTGCAAGGTATTGTATGTCCTGAAATCTGATTGCACCAGCCTACGAGAGAGTGAGCAAGTTTGGGCATCAGTTACAGTGTAAGTATGCTGGAGGAAGTCCAGCCCAACTTTTGACTTTTGGTGCTTAAATTGTCCTGTTTTTTATCATCCATATCCAGATCTATTCCCAAAATATATTCACAAGATGCATAATCCTACTCGTTATATTGCGAGAAAATAGAGATGCTTAAAGTCTAGATGTATCACAATCGGAGTAATAAAAATAAACCATACGTGATATCTACATATTTATAATCAGGTGGTTTAATCATGCATCATTTTGAATTTCTGCCTGGCCCAACCCATCAAATAATGATCCATGTGCCAAAATCAAACGCTCTTGCTATAGTTTGTCATTAGCAGCAGCCCAAGCTGCAAGAATGAGACAAGTGTCTGTTAAGTCACATATTTTATTCAGAATATGAGGACAGTGCAGGGCTGATAGGCACTGAGAAAAGCATGCTCCAGTGTTGAAATCCCTTGTTTGGTACAGACCATCATAGAAAGGTGTTCTTTCCAGCAGCGACCTGAACCAGGGTTCACTTGTAAGCGGACTGACCCTGAGATTTTTGGCTGACCACAACTTAGTTGTTTAGTGTGCACCTGAGTACAGGTACTTGTCAAAATGGACCAAACTAAGAAGTTCAGTAGGTCCACATCAAACAAGATGGTTGTGAAAGTGCCCCTAAAGGTTACATATCATGGGACATACTATGTACATGTTGATTTTCTAAGTGAAAATGAGTTATCAAAGCATTTTTATGCAAATTTTGTGCAGAACTTTTATTTGCATTTAACATATTGGAAAAAAATACAACAGAAAATATATAATGTGCCATAACATTTGCCCAGGCTACATATTGTGTTTAATTTTTTTTCCCAATATGTTAAATTCAGCAAATAAACAGGAATTATGCAAATAAAAATGTGCAGTTGTGTGTTCTCTGTAGAGGATGTGTTAACATATTTTCACTTAGAAAGTCAACTAAATGTGTCATTTGACCAGAGGCGCCTGCATATGACTGTATGTGGACTGCAATAACAGTCTGTTGTAAATTCATCATGGCTGTGATATCACAACCATGACCACATTGACATAAGATTACACATTCTGTCTACAGCGTTTTAGCCCCTTCATTCAAGTGAAAAGAAGTGAAGTTAGTGTGTGACTGATGTTTCTGAACGAGGGCAGCCGTACAGGGCAGCCAGTCATTTACATATAAAACAGCCTGTTTGGTTCTAAGAGATAAAAAAGAGGAGAACATATAATTCCAATACAGTCATGCTATCTGGTCCTGACTAACTTGATTGTAACGTTTAGTTCAAAATTAGTGTGAGATGATCATTCATCTCAGTTTATAGCTCAACTACCTCTGGCTATCAGAGCCAACCTGTCCAGTCCGATCATAATGCTCAGTAGAGGCTCAGTCCAAACAGACAACCCAGTATATCACTGTCTGCACTGTGAGCATGCTGACTGATTGACTTGCAGGTGAGTCTGAATCCCACAGCACTTCATTGCAGGGCCATGAAGTTAGAGTGAGTTTGTGTCTGTTTTATGAAAATCTGTGGGAGAAAGATAAGCAGCTGCTGTTTCTTATAGACCTCGGTTGGAGATAATCTGAAGGCTTTTAAATTCTCTTCTGCAGAGTTTTTCTCTCTCGCCCTCTCTCTCTGTCTCATTCCCTGCTGTTTGTCAGTCAATGCTATAATGACTGAAACTCTGTTTCCCCAAGATAAGTAAATATGTGCTTCGGCTTTATTTCACACATCGTTGTAGTAATTTCTTCTCTGTCAACATGAATCGCTCTATCTAAATCGGACGTGTTAACTTCAGAGGTTATTTGTGTTTGGATTAATTTCTCACTGACAGATATTGACCAGCAATAACACTGCTGGTGTGTGTGTGTAACTTAGGACATGACTGATATTGAATATTTTGTAACCAGTGCTGATTTTAAAGACCTAAAACTTCCAATAACATTGGACGATATAATTTACTATCTTAAATTAGGCTAAACAAGCTCCAGTAGTTTTAGTTTAACAGTGCCAGTGTTTACACTCAAATGAACAGCAGAAACTCACAAACACCCCATTCACACATGACATTAACATGAGTGATGAGATCATAAGTACTTGGGTCCAGTGCATCTTGGAGACACATTGTGATTCATCACTCAAACCGCCTACAGATGGATGCATACGACCACATAGCATTTGTTGTGTGAACGCTGAAGTGTCCCGATACGTCAACGATGAATGACTGACTAATCGACTACATCATCAGAGCAGAGACAGCCCTTACATGTACACAAACAATGCCTCATAGTACTTTTTTGTCTGATGACAAATGCAGCGAGAAACTGATTATGTAAATGTGCAAGGTATTCCTCCTCCGGTCACGAAATTCTGAATCAGAATTTCAGAATCAGAGTTCTTAGTGGTTTTGTTAGCTCATCCATCAGTTTCCCTCACAGAATTTTTTTTTTATCATGATAAACGTTAGGTTGAGATGCGTTTTACTTGATTGTTATTTTAATTATGATGGTGTTTTGTGTTCAAATTTAGGAGTTTAGTCTGTATTGCAGTAATAGAAGTGAG